AGACGATTGAGTACTTCTCATTCAATTAATTCAGTTCTCACTTCGCGACAAGGCAAAAATACATAAAAAGTCAAAATATCTGTATTAAAAATTACGAAGTAAATCTTAAACACTTGTTTCCTCGAAAAAAGTTCCAGAAAGGAATAAGCATGATTTAATTCGCAATAATAAATGAAGGCGTTATCTTTGTTGTTGCGAAGCTACGTTTCTTTAGATTGGCAACAAATCCACTATCCTGATGTTTCAAATGTAAACAAGCAATGGCCGCCCTCAAAAAAATTTTTAGGCTTAGCGGCACTTAAACAACTTTAAAATTGTTGATGATTCTAAACATATTGCATACAGATTTACTAAAGGCATAAAAACCTTAACCGGAAGATAAGAACAACCATCATTTTTAAAGCAAAAAAATGTACAATTTACAAACATATAAGAGTAAAGAACCTGAGATCACTGAGCCGGGTAACAGAGTGGATATATATGTAAATATATTTATATACCTTTGGTGCGGCCGATTGCAACCAAAATACGAGGTGCACATCTACATGTTTTAGCAGTCCTATATACAAAATTTCAACGTTCTGAGGCTACTCGTTTTTGAGTTAAGCGAGATACGTACGTACGTACATACGTTCGTACAGACGCCACGAAAAATTATCTTCAGAATTCATTTTAAAGCAGTTTTATAATATTTTTGGAGGAAAAGATTCTGTCCTTACGTAGTATTCTGTATTTATTCTGTCCTTACGTAGAGATATCACGCAAAAACATCGTTAAATTATACTAAACAAGTTTTTAAATTACACTACTTAAAAACTACTTTTTCTGCCTCCCGTATGCGCCATGCTGATGATAAATGAGCTGAAGCAGTACACAAAAGCCAATAAATTTAATTTAATTATTTGGTACTAAAACTTCGAACGATTTATATGCTTAATATTATGTGTATTTATTTATTGTTTGATTTACGCTTTTCATTTGGTTTTTTTAGCTTAAACCTGATTAGAGTCGTGTAGCTGTGGGCATGAGTGAAGAAGCTCAATCTTTTTTAAAGTTAAGATAGATTTGCTCAGTTTAGTGAGTTTTAACGCTAAAATGGAGCTTTTCCCCAAAAAATCCTATTTGGCCAAAATTATGGCCATAGTTTATAACTGAGGGTGGAATTCTAAATAAGAGCATTGCGACAACTCGCGTAATAGGAAATGTATGAGAAAAAGCAAGCAGCCAATGATAGCAGATGAAACGAAAGCAGAAGCTGTTAAACGAAGTTTTTTTTAATAAAAACTTTGATAAATTTGGACAGGATTGTTAACTAATCGCGCTTTAGAGTTGAATCATCGTATGGAAAGTGGATCGGAGTTTAAAAGACAGATACAATTTTATTGAAGTGCCGCCCAGATGGGAAAGTAGTTAGTGACTCTGACTGCCTTACTGCAGAGACCGGGCAACATAATTCACAAGTGCACATCAGTATCGCCACTCAGGGAGGGGTTTCATAAATGGACCAATGAGCCTCTAGCGCTCTTGTGACGCTGAATCTTTGAAACTGTGCATTGGCTATTATTATAGGATATTTTTTTTTCCGATAGACTGCAATAAAATATGCTAAGACTTTTACTACTTACCTGTATTATTATGCTTATATTTAATAATACTATTATAGGATTATATTATGTATGTATTATATAATATTATGCTTGTATTAGGGATTACATTATGATAAGTATGCTTATATTATTATGAGGTATTTTTTTCTGACAGACTACAATTATTTACATATATTTGACCTAACTTCGCAATGAAATTATAATAAACTGCTCTACACTGTTTACAGCATCCATTGTTTTTAGCTATTTCAGTTCTCATATCAAAATGAAGTCATGTCATGCGACTTTTGCATAATGATAATCACACAGAGCCGCCCAGACAGTGTAGTGGTTAGGGAACCGACTGCGATACCGATGGGTCCAGGTTCGAACCCCGAAGAATGCATGGATGTAAATTGTCTGTCCCCTCATAGGAGGTACTGGCCCACCTATTAGGTGCCTCCATAATAAAAAGACTATCGTTTTCTGCTTTAGTAATGGCCAACGCCTATGAACGGCTAGAACACGCCGTTGGGAAAACAAAAATTATTGAAGTCCTAAGAAGAATTGCGTAAGAAATTTGGTAAAAGTGAAAACAAAGATCTGCGAAGCAGTTTTCTTCGCCTTTAGGTAATAGCTTTAATATTGATTAATATGTTTCTTGAATTAAATTTCATTGTCAAACCAATATGTAAGTAATTTTTTTTTTTATTTTATACTCTTGAAATTATTTAAAGTCTACATGAATACCTTTGCATATATCGAACGTGACATTTTATTATGTTCTCATAGTCTCATTATCCTCGAAACAATAGAACTTAACAAACACGGTTAAAGAAGAATTACTGTATTTACATGTGAAAAGCCATAAAAATCTCATATAATACCCTATTCAATAGCAGAACACAGCGGAAGTCACATTTCGTGACTTTTCTCAATCGGTCACTCGTCGGAAGCGTAAGAGAATAATATAAAAATTAACATCAAATTATAAAAGAAAAGATTCGTTCCACTACGATGGAAGATGTTCGCGATGTATTTATGTACAGATTTATGCATTTGTTATACAATTTTGAAGCTCATCAACGGCAGAGCGGTAAAGTCGATGAGTACTGGTAGTTTGACTGGAATTCAAATCCCAGCTAATGTGCTGGACGTTTTTTGAATTTTCCCCACGTGTAACGTGGATACGAGCCAGTTTTCCTTAGAAAGTCCTTCATGAAGGCACTTGTTCCTATAGGACGATAGTTCTAGTGTGCTTTTCTGTAATAAAAACCAACCCAATTATGGATGCCAATGGCTGATATGATGTAAAGTTTGCATCTAAGTTACTTTAATTTTGGTTTTAAGCTTGTGAGTTTTTCAAGCTTTCGAATAGGGCCATTTCAAAGAACTTTCTAAAAGGCTAGGATACTGAATGTTATGATTTAAAAAAAGTGCAAAGTAGAAATATCCATTAATAATGTGCTGACTCCAGCTAAATAGCAGTCCACCAGCGGCCGAGCGGTAGAGTCGCTGAACACTTGTAGTTCGGTCCGAGGTTCGAATCCCGCGAACGGGCTGGCTGCATGGGTGTTTTCGTGGTTTTCCCCCATGTTTAACGTGTATACGAGCCAGTTTACCTTAGAAAGTCATCTCTCCTCCTAGGCAGAGAGCCCTCGAGGCTTTGCCGTAATTACACCTAACCTAACCAGATAAATACCTCATGTGTCTGAGATTAGGCTTATCCATACTTGTATGTCAACTTTTCTTTGGTATTTGGTAGTTTATAGGTCTTCCCTCTACTGAGCAAGTGGATCAGATTGCTTAAGGCTGATAGTTCGTCTTGAATTCAAAAAGACTTAACAAATGAATTTGTTTGCTTGGATATTTTCGTCGTGTTTCTTAGTGTGAAACGTGAATACGAAGGCTTTTCCCACAGAAAGTTTTCCACGACGGCATTGCTTCCATTAAAAAGATCTTATCTATGTGTTTTCCTTAATCAAGTAGCAAACTTTATGGGTCTTCTGATAAATGCAGTTCTTAGGTACTGTAACAATCGAATAGGCGTTCCTATTTAGAAAAATAAATTTCCATAGCCATGCTCTAAACTGAGTATTATAGGCAGTTTAATAGAAATTAATGCGAATGTTAGTTACATGTAGAATTTAAAATTAGAATCCACACCAGATGTGGCTTATTAGGAAAAATATTCTATGAGTAATTTATTACTCAACACTAAAGATTTTAGCTGCATTATTTAACAGCTATATAAATTTTGTTCGAAAGTTATTTCCAGACGCTTCAGTAATGATAATTAGTGAAAAATATTTATTTACACAAATGAAATAAATATATTGTTGCGATATGTACAAGCGAGGTAAGATGGCTTCCCCTCAAAGCAGTTTTAGGGTTGCCGTAAAATGACAGGGGAATGCAGGGTTGCCATATTTGGTGAGAAATCGCCCATTTTGCGATATTTGGGGGAAAATTGGCGATATGCCATGGACGGATGGAGAACCTTCTGGGACGAATTCTTACCGGTTTAGCCCAGAATGTTCTCGAACACAAGCAAGCTATATAAACCCTGCTGCTACGCTGAGAGTTAGTTAGTATCGAGTTGGTGTCTCGTCTAGCGAGTCAATCCCTGCGGAGTCGATCGAGTTGACAGCCGGGCAGCGAGTGCCGAGTGGGCCGTCGAGTACACCGAAAGAGTCTCTTAGTGTATCGCGGTTAGTGCATCGTCGAGAGAGCGTGTTGAGTTCCGGGAACGACTGAACCGAAGAGTCGGGAGTTGTGCTCTGTGTGTCGTCGAGTGCCTCTCGAGTTGTAGCGTGGAGAGTCTCGAGAGTACGTGGAGTTCCGAGAACGACAGAGCAGAGTCGGGTGCTTTGCAGTGAAGCTATCTCCACCGTTACAGCCTAATAACCTGAAGGCTGTGTCGCTGATTGTTCCAGCGAGTGTACAGTAGATCTTCGACTACTGTAAAACGCGACTTTGGAGCTGTCCTGATTAATATTGCTAAATAAAGTGTGTTTCGATACTTCATCAAGTAGTATTGTCATTATTCACTCCAAATCCAATGTTAAAATATAGTTAGTATTTCTGTTAACTACTTTTAAGGAAGAAAATTACATTTACTGTTAATCGCTGTTAACTGTTTTTAACTTAATACTATTACTGTTTGCTACTATAAGTAACTTGATAAATACTTACTAACTTACTACTTTTAGCGTTTACTACTATTAGTAGCTTGATAAATACTTGCTGATTAATAACCTTAACTGATTAGTAACTTCCCACATTTCAAGAAATTAAACTGAAATGCACAAATTCCAAACAATGAGTACCGAAGAATAAGGACTTTTATTGAATGTAATTCATAATTATTTACTATTATGTAATTACTTGCTATTATTTTGTTAATTCTTTTAGAATTAATATGTACGTGGTGGACGAGAGTGGACGAAGGAAACGTCATGTTGTCGGTAAGTGATTTAACTTTCGTTTTTATTAAACTTCAGGAATCATTTATCATTTCCTATTTTTAAATATAAGGTTTTCAAAATATTTATTTAGAAACCAAAACATCTACTTATTAATAAGTAGCCTATATATGTTCCATTTGTTTTTAACTTCAGTAAAATTTCGCAGAGCTGTGTAAACGCTTATAGTATGAATACTGATTTTCCCTATAAGACCTTCACCATAAGTACCATCACTTGTAGTTTCCAATATGCTTGAATTACTAATTTTTTAATCCAAACATAATTTGCTTAGAATTTTAAAATTAATCCATAGTGTTTCCTAAAGAGATAGACTACTTTAAACCCATATTATCTTAAATTATTATAATAAAATTGCAGAGATAATTTATCTGCAATTAGCATTTTAATAGATGATTTCACTAATGGCTAAAGGCTCTCATGATTCTTGAGAACGGCTAGTTGGTAAGTTAATTGATTAAGCAAAACGAATTAAATGACCCCTGTCTGCCTAAGAATAGAATAACTTTGGTTGGTTAATTTAATTTTGACAAAGCGACGGTTGGAAAACTGGCTTGTACACATGTTACACATGGGGAAAAACGTGTAAACGTCCATGCAGCCAGTCGTTCGCCTCGAATCTAACCCAGGTCGGAACTACCAGTGTTCGGCGACTTTACCGCTAGGCCGCTGGTGAGCCGTATGCCTTCGAGCAAGACTCCTTGAGGGAAATTACCTGGTTTAAAGGGAAAATGCGATCATGCAGAACAGTCAGGAGATAAATTTTGTTCGTATAAAATCTATATATATTAACATTTTATTAAAGTTATATCAGCGTTAAAAAATCTTGTCGTTATGAACCTTCAAGAACGATTGATCAAATTGCTAAAAATAAGGTACTGCATATTTATATAATAAAGAAGAGCTGACGTCTTTCTGCGTCAAGTAAAACAGAGAACGTTTTACAACTGAACCATAATTAAGTTATTTTCAACAATTTCGCATTTTTTGGGAAAAGAATAAATAAACATGTGCATAAGAAAACAAAAACAATTTCATTGTTATATTAAGTACCTTGCTGCAGTAATAACAGATTCTTCATACATGACCCGCATAAACCTGATTTATTCCCTTATTATAGAGAATTCAGTCTCATATTGATATATTAATAAGATTCTGCAGTCCTTTCGCTCATCTTCTAATAACCTTGTCACCTTTTTCAGTATAACAATTGCAAATGCTTTTATCAGCATCTTATGTCAAAATGCAGTTTTGTGTTTAACATGAATTAGGACGTAGTTATTTGTGCTAGAAATTTAAACTGCACTCTAACTTGCTCATGTTTTTCCCGTTTGGGAAATTTAATATCCTGTCACAAAATTTATTCGTTTAATAATCCTTAATAAAAGTATAAAAGAATTCACATTAACAGTCCTTATTAGTTCACATAATCCATAATCCTTTATAAAAGTATAGAGGAATATTTACTTTTGAATATATACTTTTTCATATTTTTTTCGTTTTTAATTCCAATAAATTTTCTCTCATTTATATGACGACCTTCTTAATAACATCATTTTTTGAAAGTCAAACTGTGACTTCCATTACAATAACTTATTACGCAATAAATACCTTAAGCAGTGGTGTATGGATATATTGTCGTTCAACTTTTGTCAAAGCAACTTTAGGCTCAAAACATCTGTTACGTTTATGTTTTACTGCATTTGAAATGTTCTTAGTTTATAATTTTGTTATTAAGAGATTCTGAAATAAAAATAAAAAAAAAACTACAGCATGCATAGGCTATTTATTTAATTAGCAGATATTTTGGTTTAGTTTCTGATGACTTAAAGTTTCTTGAACCACCTTGACGAACTGCATGGCGAAACGCAAGCCAACACATTTGTTCCGAGCAGTTGAATGTTTCAATATATAAAGCTTAAAAAATCTATGCATGTTTAATATGAGGATTATTTCTTATTACATTATAAAATAACATACCATACTGGACGAATGTGTAGCGCTGTGATAATTTATTTTCATGGAGTGGAAATAGACAATGTGAGAATAAAACTTAAACCAATGAATTCGGTTTATCAATCAGAACTATACACGTTGACAGAGGTTTTGAACTGGATTAATAAAAAATTAATAGTTCGATGTTTTATAGATATTTATACTGATGCTCTATCTGCGCTTCAGGCACTCGCCCAACCAGATCATAAAAATCGACTAATTAATGAAGTAAAAGACTTGTTTAAAAAGGCTGAAAGAAATCATATTGTTAAATTACACTGAATGAAAGCACACAGTGGAATTGTCGGAAATGAAAGAACGGACACCCTTGCTAAAATGGCGGCACTTGGGAATGGGATTGATAATTTTGATATCTAAGATTCAAAAAAAAAGACCATTGCTGAAATGGAAAACTGGATTTATACAGAATGGAAATTTTGCTGGGAGTCGTCTAATAAGAAAAAAGAGTTAAGGAAAAATATAAAGTTAAACAAGAAGATGAATATTATAAAAAATGTTGATATAAATCAGGTAGTGACTACTCATGGACGTTTCCCGGCTTATTTTAATCGGTTCCATCTATAGAACAATGATAAATGCTTATTATGTGATAAGTTTGCGGACGGCAGGCACTTTGTCGATGAATATACGCTTACCCGGAGTGCAAGAGAGAAATATAGAAAGAATTTTAAGGAAGATTTTAAAAGGAACTATTCAAAGTTGAAAGATTTTGAGGAGACAATAATGAAGATTATACACACGAACAAAGATGGAGTTGGAATTCGGCACTGAGTCTCAGATTTTGAACTTTATATGTATTTTTTTTTTCTTATATTTTTTTTTCTGGTCAGTCCTATTTTTTTGATCATATGGCCGGCTTGTGCCGGCCAGGAGGATCGGGGCTGTGCCCCTTATAAATAATAATAATAATAATAATACCATACTGCTAATATTTCTCTACTTACTTATATTTTTCCTCCGCCCAGAAAATAAAGTAGTTAGTGAATCTGACTGCCGTAACGAAGGGCCAGGATTCGAATGCGGATAAGGCATGGATGTAATTGTCCGCCCCTTCGTATGACACGCTCTCCCCTGTGATCCTAAAAAGACTACGCTTAACTTTTGGCCAATGCCTATAGTATGTACAGTGGATGGACAAAAATATGGAAACACCTTGTGAAATGCATGTTTGAAAAGAAAGATTGATTTTAATGAAATATGTAGGTGGCGCTGGCGTTTTTGACTACTGACGCCACCTATACAACTTCGTAAATGTGCTAAACAGTTCAGTTGTTGTCGGAGTACTGTTATGTGAGGTTGTCATTGCATTATGTCAGAGTTAACAGACTTCGAACGTGGGCAAATTGTTGGAGCACGTATGGTAGGTGCTTCCGTAAGCAAGGTAGCCGAGGTGTTTAGTGTTTCAAGAGGTACTGTATCGAAGATTAATCACAGCGCGGACGAAAGTGTGTCCTGAGTGATCGTGACAGACGATCATTAAGGGCAATTGTGACGAAAAATAAGAAGACCACAGCTGCAAAAGTTACTGCTGAAATGAATGTTGTGTTACCGAACCCTGTGAGTACCAAAACAATTAGAAGGGAGCTTCATAAACAGGGAATTGCTGGCCGTGCTGCAATTGAGAAGCCACTCATCAGTGATGCTAATGCCCGTAACAGGAAAAGGTGGTGTTTAAGTCATAAAGCCTGGACTATAGAGCAGTGGAAGCGAGTAATATGGTCTGACGAGTCTTCTTTCACATTGTTTCCCACTTCTGGCCGAGTTTACGTCTGGAGAACGCCATCTCAAGCCTATAATACAGACTGCTTGTTGCCAAGAGTGAAACATGGCGGGGGTTCTGTTATGGTTTGGGCAGCCATATCGTGGTTCTCTGCTAGCCCCATGATAACTGTGTCAGGGCACATGACTGCCAAGACTTATGTGAACATTTTGGCCGATCAAGTTCATCCCATGGTACAAACTTTGTTCCCCGATGGTGATGGTGTCTTCCAAGACGACAAAGCCCCTGTTCACACAGCTCACATTGTCCAGGACTGGTTTTCTGAGCACGAGGATGAGTTGTCCCATCTCCCCTGGCCACCACAGTCACCAGACCTGAATATTATCGAACCTTTGTGGTCTACATTGGAACGGAAAGTGCGTTCTCGTTATCCACCGCCAACATCGTTATCTGAACTTGCCACCGTTTTGCAGGAAGAATGGTATAATATTCCCTTGGCAAACATACAGGAACTGTATTTATCCATTCCGAGAAGACTGCAAGCTGTTTTGGATGCCAACGGGTTTCCTACACCATATTAAGCAAAGAAACATGTTTTTTTAAAGGTGTTTCCATATTTTTGTCCAACCCTGTTTGTTTCAGTGTAAGTGAATTGAGCCACGACGAAATAAAAAATTTCCCCGAATATTGTATTGTTCGATTAATTTTTTTCTTCAATGTTTGCAAGTCTGTCAAATCCGATTTAACGAACCGAGGGAAGGAATTCACGAGTGTCCTGATAACATTTATATGAAGTATCGCATTGGAATTGTTCCACAAGTACCTGCCAGCCTAAAGACAAGTAGACTCTTCTGAGTAGTTTGTACAAGTCAAGTTAATCTCATCATACTTTCTTCCTGACATGTCATAGGTTGATATATCCTTTTCATTTGTTTTGTTAAGATCTAAGAAAGCACCCATTAAAATTTACATTTTACTTACATCAAGTATTCTTCTTTGGTATGGAACCATATTTTGCACTAAGCAAATACTCTCAACATCACCGAAAACTGGATCAACAATCTCGAAAGTATTCACTTCGGAAATTCTACATTCATTATAGTTTTTACGTACATTTTACAGCTTCTGCGTCCAACAAATCTGTTATTACTTGTTTCAATATTATTCTTCGTATGAATACACACTTCCAGAATTTTTACCATTTTCTAAATGTTATCATCTTGCCAAACATCTATCAAATATTAAGTAAACCTTCAACGTAGAATAAATTAAATTTTTCTTTTCACGACTTGGTGGATAATATCCTATCAATGTTTTCATAATCGTCTTCTTTCGATCCAAGAAAAGCGCATACAAACCGCATCAGAAAAAATGCCGCATGCTTCATGTATATCAATAAATGAACATTCAGAACGAATTCTTCTGTATGTTACCTTTTGTAGGGAATATAAAGTTACAGGATTATTAATTGTGTTTACAGTAACAGCTTATTATTTTTACTTGCAGTGAGGAACGTGGATTTCCGGATCATAATCATGATTCTGCTGTTGGATAATTACGTAAAATTCTGACGATCTTTGGTCTCCTGGCATTTCAAAATTTTTTCATTAAAGATAAAAATCAGTATCTGAAGTTAAAAAAAAACATGCAACGACTTGTTTCTGAAAACCTAGAATTTTGTTAAGTTCTTCATGCATGTTCATGTTCAAATTTAATGAACTTTTACATCCTGTGAATATGTTCAAAAGAATTCCACTTGTTAATTTTCTAAACTGTAATAAAATTTTACAAGTTTAATACGTCTGTGAACAGCTCTTTAGTATTATTATTATACTTCATTACAACATTGCGTTTCTAATACTTATTATATTTATCTCATAATGTTTATCTGTTATTTTTGTTACATCAAAACGGATGTCCACTTTAATATGTAAATTTTAAATTGTATTGAAACTGTATTATAATCTCTTTATGTTCTAAATCATTATATTTAAAACATACTTGTTCGGTGGGATTGCACAAGGTACCATTATAGGTGAACTCCAGATTATTTGGAAAGCTTCAGTTGCTCATTTCCTCCACCTTTCTTTGTAAACTCTTATAAAGCTTGCAATTTATTTAGTTAGTTCGTATGAGAAGGCATTACTAGTTAACCCATGGTACTTTGCTGGTGTCCCCCATACCTTTACCTGTATGTATACCGAGTTTACAGCCATGTATAGTAATAAACTAACCTCTTCTGTCGTTAAGTGATGTATTAAAAATTGGGCATATCCTCTTCTATTTGTAATCTGCAAGTTATTTCATTTTAAAAGTTGATTTTTATAATATGTATTAATTTTAGGTCTAGCTCCTGTCAGCGGCATGTGTAATCCTCTTAATAGCTGTACCATAAGCGAAGGCACTAGTTTTCAAACTGTGCTAGTGGCTGCTCACGAGATGGGGCACAGGTAAGCATGGTATTAACTGCTTCAGTGAGCATTTTGTCAAGAAAATTTGAAATATGCGCATTTTGTAAAGATATTTCTGAAATATGCGTGATTCGTACACGTTGTCTGGAAATCATGAAGCGTTTAATCTGCTTAACGAATTGACGGTTTAAACTACACTCATGTCCATAAATTAAGGATAATGCAAAATCAGGCAAAGGAAGAGTTAGAAGCAAAACAAATTTGACTTATTTGTAAAGCTTATTTATTAAACAAAAGGTAAAGAGCAAAAAAAGATGCTATATGTTTGATATTATTAAAAAAATTAGCGATTTTTTCTCTCTGGAGCAAATTACAAAAAAAAACCTATTTACAAAAAACCAATATTACATGGTTGGTATGATTGTTAATACATTGTATGTCTCCCAGACGATGCAATACAGTCCGTACAACGCCTAGACATGCTGAGTATCAAATTATCGATCTGATCTTGGGGGATATTACACCACTCAAAAAGCAATGCTCTCCGAAGTTCCGGTAGACATGTAGGAGGAGGTTGAAGGGCTGCAACTCGTCGTCATATCCCACACGTGCTCTACTGGATTCAAGTCCGGTGAGAATGCTGGCCAGTTCATACGGGTGATATCCTCCGATTGAAGGCATTCGCTTACGCTGTTTGCACGGTGAGGACGGGCGCTGTCATCCATAAACACAAATTGTGCGCCCAAACGAGCATGGCGCCCCGAAACAAACATACCTGTTGTTCCAGAATGACGTCCCGATAGATTTGGCTTGTCATGGTTCCAATTTGAACATGCAGGTCAGTTCTGGAACCCAGAATAATTCCACCCCAAACGAGCACTCCTGCACCAACCGTAACGGTGTCGTTCAATGATGTTTTCTTGGTGGTAACGGGTACCTGGAGCTCTCCATATGAAAGTCCGGCGAGAATCAGACTGCAAGCTAAACCTGGACTCGTCGGAAAACATCACACAAGCCCACTGTTGCGGTGTCCACAATGCATGCTCTCTACTCCAGGCTAACCGCAGGCGACAGTGAGTTGCAGTAAGTGGAACGCATCTGACAGGTCTATGAGCATCCCTAAGCGTCTGTATACGGTCTGCCTTGAAATTGTCGTACCAGTGGCTGAAGAGAGCTGACGAGACAGGTCTGAGGCTGTGCTCCTCCTGTTTCTTTTGGCAGTAACTGCCAAATACCGGTCCTCATTCGGCGTTGTAACTCTGGGGCGACTTGTGCTGTTCTGTACGTCTACTCACATTACTATCATCTTGGAATCGTTGCCAAAGCCTGGAGATGACACTCTGGGCAATTCCAAGTTCGTCTGATACTTCCAGTTGGGTAAGCCCACATCCCAGACGGCCGATAATTCTACCACGTAAAAAATCATCCAAATGCATCTTTTGTGTCATAACTATTGGGTTATTGCACTGAAATGCTTATAAAGCGCCTGCAAACAATTTTACTTCTTTGCCTGTATTCCTTATATATCACTCTCTTACACTCTCGTCATTGTGACGTACCATCGGTGTCATCTGGTTACTTCCTGAAATTTGCGTATGATTCTTGAAGCTGTGTGTAGTGATTTTACAGGTTATATATTTATTTTAGAGTTCGATTTCCGCGTGACTCCGAATTATCCTTAATTTATGGACGAGAGTGTATATAACGGTAGTTTAATCTGTGTAACGGGTACAAACGTTTAATCTATTATTTATTTTTACATTAAATAACTTGTAAATTATTGCTGGGGAATTAATAAATGTAAATTTTTCTGAAAAGTTATGTGAAAGTATAATAAATTTTGCATAAATCTGAATTTCCAATTTAATTTTGTTTTTATACTATTTATTAAAATAGTTACCACTTTTCCTTGCTTAGAAAGGCTCTTGATTAGATTTATTGCGTAGTTTTTAATTCTTCTATACTATATGTCGGAAAAGTGTTTATAAGGCATTCTCTCCCTCCTTTTCACATACCTTCGCGGTGTAAGCGGAAGCCTGCTCGACAGCTCCAGGGTTTGAATCCCGGTGAGGGCATTGCGCCATTTTCACCTCTCCTGCTTCAAATAAAACTAATGACACTACAGTAGGGCCCGAACTAAAAGGTGGTGGATAATAATTCGTCCCCACCAGAATTTGGTGATTGGGCACCCTCCTCCCCAGTCGTCCTCTAAAAGGGAGAGTATGTAAAGTATTTTCTTCCTCCATAATGCGGATGCTTTCATGATGGAACTGGAAGCATACTCGAAGCTGTTTCGAGAGGTCTAGGATTCGAGTTCCGGCAATTGGCATTACATATTTTTCACCTCTCCTGCTTCAAAAAGACCTAATGATTCTACTCTTTCAAAAACTATGATTTAGTTTTTATGTCTTCTAATGCATAACATTCGTTACAAACCACATGAACTTTCCTATGTGACTGCTTAACTTAAGACTGCTTAACATCGTCCCTTTAAGGAAAAGTTTTTTCTGCACTAGTAGTTTTAATGGTTTTGCTTCAGCAATTGGCTTTCGTCCACATTTTGTTTTTTTGAGTTGTAAGTGATTTGCATATTTATGTAATATTTTTAATGTATGTATTTACATTTATGTAGTATTTTAAATGTATGAATGTAGTCTGCACTATTATTTTACGAGGTAATGAGATTGAAAATCGACACTATCCAAATTTAAATTTAATTTTAATAATGTACTTTGTTTAATATTCTGTGTTTATATGCAAATGCGTGCACAACATGTTTGGGATTTTTAAGCAGGTAATTAAAACGGATGAAATGTTTGTTTGTGTACATCAAAAACTTTGTGATTTATTTTATCGTCTATCTCTTCAAATGTTTGTAAAGTATCGCGTGACAGGTCTTTTTTCTTTTCTATTTTAAAGAACTCTATAGCTAAGAAAATGTGTAGCACTCTTATTTGCCTGTTGAGCAATAAATCTTAAGTAATTTAACTGCAAAATCTTGTAAAGTTACTTTAAAAATAGCTTTTAATAGCACTTAAATAGCACATTTTGCTAAAGTTATGCTGTTTTATGTAATAATTTTCTCTATTGTAAAGTTTAGGGATGGAACATGACGGACACCAAGATGGGAATCACTGTGATTCCGATACTTATGTGATGTCGCCTACACTGGGAGCTGGTAAAACTACATGGTCCGCTTGTAGCAGACAATACCTAGAGAAATTCCTTAGGTAAGTTGACTTTAGACTATGTGCTATGATAATTATTTATAGCTTTATTTTATTTTCTTGCGTGAAGGAAATGTTATTTCAAAACTTCTATCACTCTAAGGCAGGAAAGTCAAACTCAAAGTGTATGCAGATTGCATGCAGAATATAAAAACAACTGAAGGATCAGTTTTTTTTTTTTTTAATGAAATCAATTTACCAACGAAATCCAAATTTTTTTAATAAATTTTTAATTTCGCTTACTAAATATTTCTGGAAACGTGACGTAAACAATAATAATAATATCATAAATGAAATATTCAAATTTATGTTTATTTTCTTTGTGAAATCTAAAGTTTGGTACTGGAAAGAGATATTTGTGGGTTATAATTTCTGATTCAGACATACTGACAGCTAAGTATTAAATTTTTAGATTGGCATTCCTTTTAAATAATTCTACCATGTTTAAGTTTTCAGAGAAACTTTTCCGAGTGGGACAAAACTTAAGAATAAATAACGACAACCTAACTTCTTTCTCTTATTTACTAAATGTTTTTCTCTGCGCTTAAATAAAAATACTGTCGCAAAATACCGAGCTGCTGTCAGTTAGCTTTTCCGTAAGCGCGGTTAGGATTGCCAGAAAGTGAAAAGGAAAAGTATTATTGCCAGATTTATATCAACATCGCCCATTTGGCGATATTTGGAACACATTCTTAGCGGTTTTCTCGGGAATAGTCTGGAAGGAAGGTTAAAGCTATATATACTTTGAATGTACGCAGAGAAAGTAGGGTCTTGAGTTCAAAGATCAGCTTACATGCAAGTAATTATAAACTCTCTATTTCTTACTGCAGCTTGACTTTAGGGTTTAATCTATTTAACGAATAAAAATATTGACTCTGTTTTTAATTTTTTGTATTAAATTATTCGTCAGTCAGTTTTTCTTGAAATTATGGGAAAACAAAGATAAGTTATGCACACAATTTGCATATGCATAAACTATGCACTAATTTAATATTGTTTATGTGACTTAAAATTTTATTATATGTGATTGATCTGTTTTATTTTATATGATTGAGACTTGATAGTATTAGATTCTGTTAAAGTTTGTAGTCTTGAAGAGAAATTACTGGAAATTACCTTTATCACGCATTGCAGATGTTCATTGATCAATCGGGTTTTTTTCCTTATCAGTTTTCATCTGTGAAGAAAAAACTGTTCACATATAAATGTACTCCTAAACAAAAGGATTACAGTGAAAATATTTCTGAGCTTATTTACTTTTTGACAAATACGAATAAAAGTTAATGAAATCTGTATTTGAATTCTTTTAATAAGATTGTAAATTAATTGTAAACTAATTACATTCCTAGATTTTCTGGCGCGTTGTTTACTTCGTTTTTAATGGAAATAAAAATAATATAAACTCTAACTTCAGGTAACTAAAATTCTGAAATCTGTGTAGCACCGTATTTTCAACAAATGCATAATTGAAATGCATTCGCTAGCAGCAAGAAATTGCTTCAGGGAGCTTGACACCGCTACTCTAAGGCATCAAATATTCAATATACAGTCAAACCTCCTTTAAAGGACATTGCTTTTTTTTTTTTTTTTTTTTTTTTTTTTTTTTTTTTTTTTTTTGGATCCTCGAAGTAGGAGACCGGGCACTTCCATTTAGCAGATAGTCCTTGAATACGGACTGAAACAGGATTTCCGTAAATGTCCGCTAACGAAATGTTTAACTGCATCTTGAGAAAATATTATCTCGCATACGTACTTTTCAAGCAACAGTAATTACCATCTAGATTCTGTTTCCATGCAACATGGTGAGTTTATTGAATAGTTAGGAATGTTTCTGATATCTAATAATATTAATGCTAGGTAGGCTTCTTTTGAAAATTTTCCGAATAATATATTCTCTGGGAAGATTCAGTTCTGCTTGCTTTGTTTTTCTTAAACTAATAAAATACTCATTCTCTGTAATTATGTATGGACATATGAGCTATGTAACCAAAGATGCAAGTCAAGCTGCTAGCGCCATCTATTGGAGAAAAAATTAAAATAACTGTGAAATAATTTCCTTAAAAGCTGAGAGTAAAGCCGGTTTGGAATTAAGATTCTTACCTAGAACTAAAAATTTTTAAGAATGTGAAATGCCTCTACAAAATCTAACTCACCAACGGGGATGTTTTTTTAAATAGTATTGGCAGCAGAAAAATGGAAAATTTGATTTTCTGACCAACAGTGTTGGAAAACAGATGATTTATGTGTTTCCTTTTTCCTGACATATGCCTCATTTTCCTTACCACGAAATTTTAAGGCTCTGTTAGTTTGATCCGCGTAAGTTAAACCACACTGGCAAGGAATCCTGCACATACTTCAGGAGTTCGCATCCGCAAGGAGGTCTTTAACCCTCTAACCGGCAAGAATGTAACGGCCTAAAATATTTTTTGTAATGTCTGTAAGAACGTATATATATGTCATAATAAAATCACAAGAAAAAGACGGAACACTGTAGATGCGTGCTTAGATCCATATTGAAGAAGATTTTGATTGCGCAGTATGCTAGTAAATGCTAACTTGGTAATATCTAAAGAACTTGGCAGTCGAAGCAATTTTAATTCCATTTTTATTTCCAATTGATATTTGTGGCCACAATCACTTTGCACTCTAGTCGTGCCTTTCCACAGAAGATTGACATTTTTGATATTGTTGGGATAGCAAGCAAGCCAGCGAAATTACATATTAGCAGAGTAGAGGGCCAAAGCTGAAGTGCGTAGTTATGAAAGATGGAAGCACGCGAAAAGAAAAGTTTTGGTTTACAAGGACAGTTTCAGTTCCCAATGATTACGGCATCAGAGCTGCGCCGATCATATAGAGTGATCTAGAAATGACGCAATGCAGAGAAGTTATTACGATTTTAGAATAGAGAGGAAGAATTTATGTTTATAGTTATAGTATAATTCTGATTCATATATTTTTATCTTACACATATGTCCAAACAATTAAGGCAATATATTAAAAGTACATTAAAAGTACAGGTATAAAGTACCAGGGATATCTTGGCATTAAATTCAAGAAAACAGCTCTTTCTCATGACAGTTTTTAGAAATTTGGGCTTTCTTAGCGAAACCCCGTGCCGATCAGAGGGTTAAGTATGAAACTGCGAATTTTATTGGCGAAAGAGAAAGCGACCTGAAAATAGAATTTTTGTAAAGTACGTGCAGTTTTATAGCTAATCTATGGAAAGAAAGGAATGACAACAGAATTCTCATAATCTCCTAAAATGAGATGGTGATTTTTGATGCGTTGAGATGAGAATTTTTTAACCGCTTGGTCAATAATGTTATGTGAAAAGCCTAGGTTAATAGCAACTGCTTTTGGGTAATGTAGTTCTTGATCAAGAGCTAATAAGGAGGAGCAAACCTGAAGTGCACGGTAAACAAAGGAATAAAATGAAGCTAATTTTTCTTTAGTCGAATGATATGATTTGAAGTGTGATGGAAAGCAAACAGTTGAAGGTTTGCGGTGTAAAGAGTAGTGCTTTAAAATTTACCATATATGTATGATTAAAGAAGAATTGTAAATGCTCCCTACAAGCCAATTCTTAAGCGGAAAACGACTTGCCAGTTAACAGCCCTATTTTTCTGATGAGAGTATAATTTTAATGTTATATGTTACGTACAAAATTATTTTCTTATTTTGAAATACTCTTTATTTGTTTGTATCGAATTGGTTCACATATTTACACGCATCGCAGAAAAGAACCCAGAAGAGCGGGCGTAAGCAAAGGCACCTTCATTTAAGACTTTTCAGGGGCGTAGCTAAAGGGGGGCACCTGTCCCCGGGCGCAGAATCCAAGGGGCGCCAAACTGATGCTACGACATTTTAGAATTAAATATTTTCCATCCTTGGCAAGCAGTAGGGGGCGCGAAATCTTCGGTTGTCCCTGGGCGCTGAAAACCCTAGCTACGAGTCTGAGACTTTTAAAAGGATACTGGCTTGTATTTGAGTTATGCAAAGGGGGGACATGAAATTTTCATAGAATCAGTATTTCAGTCATATATAATAAAAAAAAAAAAAAGATGAAATTTATGTTACCACACCCAGCTGATGTTTTAAGTCATTCATTCAAAAATTTGAAATTTATATTTTCATTCGCACTAATAATTAAATTTAACTCATCTATTTCGTAATTAATCGCGTTGTAATTACTCTATATGTTCAGTTGTGCTTAATGATCAAACATTTCACTGTATAAGCAGTTCGGCTTTTAGACTATACTAAATTTTCTCATCTTTGTTCATTTTATTTGACAGTTTTTCCAAAAAAAAGTCTATATTTATTCAAGCAAAATGCAGCGAATGATAAATTAGCAAGTGTTTCTGAAAATTCTATATTAGCTATGTTATACTATACATTACTGTGGCGTAATAAATGTATTTAATATGTATTATTAAGGATTTGATTTGTTCATTTGAGTTAAATTGAGAATATTATATCATCCATTAGACAGTCTTTCTTTTTTTACAATCACGAAGGAGATTCCTTGAAATAGCATCAGTCTTACTGTAGTGCAACTTTGTTGTTACGTCTTACGCCATAATGGGCTAATTATTTTAATTCTAATATTGCTTTCCTGTTTGTTACTTTTAATCTTCGTTTACATCGTTACGTTACTTATAATCATCGTTTAGAATATCTTTTAATCTGTTCTTATAATTTCTCTATAGTAACTGTTTACTTCTTGATTTATTTTTATACATATGTGCAATTTTCAGCGTTATTATTTTTAATTTTTTAACATTTAAAAACAGTTACTTGTTAAGTTATTATAAAATAAAAATATTATATATTCTTTGTAACGATAACATGCAAAATAATAAAAAGTAATAATAAACTCTGTGTTCTAAGTTTTGTAAGTAGAAAATTTTCTGTGTATTGTATTCTAGAGTAAAACTTTTAATTTAGATAAATCGTATTAAGATGGTATTAAGGAAAACACCTGGAAACTAACTGAGAAACTTATAAACTCTTATCCAATTTTATTTTGTCACATAGGTCGCCTCAAGCGAGTTGTTTGCAAGTTCCTAGTCCCTACACCACTGATCTACTGGAACCAGCTCCAGAGAAATTACCAGGACAAGTCTACGATGCTGATTATCAATGCACTCTACGTTACGGTGACGGAAGTAGAAGATCAAATCTGCAGACATCAGAGGTACTTCAATTTGCAGTTATTTCTTCTTTATGTCCAAGTTATTTTAATGATACACCTTCAAAACAAAATGGCAAAAAAAATAACGTATAGCATAGACTTTATATTAGAAAAAGTGACTTTTTTATGTATCAACTAAATTTTTTCTTTGCTAAGATATTAAACTGCGTTGAAATTCTGAGTAAAATTCCAAGTAGAGATTATAAAGTGGCCGGTTCGAATATAGAAATGTAAATATTCAAAATTTAATATAATATGTTGAGTAAATTAAACTGAAAATTAATCAATTTGGAAAATGTTAAATAGGAACCGAACCGTGATAGAACAAGTATTTAGAAATACTTAGAGAAGAAATCTTTACAAATATACCATAGTATGCTTGCTGAGTTGGATGCAAGCTGTCATCACTGTTTTATCAAGTAGCTATTGTTTTAACTGTCTGTTGTTAATGCCTCGTGTTTCAAACCAACAATAACTCTTGGGAAAAAAGTAAGCTTGCTTAAAACAAAAGTGTAAAATTGTGAACATTCAAAATTATTGTCTTTTTAACCACCATAATTGGCGTTGGAATAGCAAATAGATTAAACATACAGCGTAGAACTTTCACTTATGTTTCTAGTATTTTATTATAGCATAGTTTAGCATTAAGTTAATGGACTTGGTTTCATAAAATAGCTAATGTTTTTTAAACAGATGGCTTAATTAGTCTATAATTTTATATTTTTCGATATATTACCACCATTTTGCATATATTTGATATTTTAACATGAAAAGACTAAATATCAAATTTATAGTAAAAATACAATACATCAAAATTCAAATTCTTGTCCACTATAGTACTTTCTATCTCATTTCGTAGAGGTTTTCTTGAATTTTTCTTGCATGAATTTACATACTTCAGATTTATCCTGAAAGATTCCTACAAGAAAATATAATGCACAATATGGCAAACGGAATATCTTTCTACAAGGCAACGATTGGTACTATTGAACGATCTACTCGTATGATCTACACGAAGTAATTTAAAATTCATTTGCAGCATGGGTGGTTCGTGAATAACATAATTTAGAGCAATTAAGTGCCATTTTTAACCATAACCCCTATGCAAATGCATTGTATACTATACGTACACTGGGCAATGAATTAGAAACGCTTGAGATTTGTATTTGAATGCGTGCTAGGGATGAAGTATGCACATTTTTTATGGCGTGGGTTACACGTGGTTAAAATGCTAATATAAATGAGGTGTAAGAGTGTTTTTCACGATGAATGAAGTAAAATGGGAAAAACGAGAGATCTTTCATCATTTGAAAAAGGGCTTATTCTTAGTGCCCATTTAGCAAGGGCCTCGATTTCGAAGTCAACAAATCTCACTGGATTTTCAAAAGCAGGCATATCAAAGGTTTTCAAAAGTTGGAATCAGAATCCACAGTCCTTCTCTAGAAGACGTAACTGCATTTCGAGCACAGTTTTCCAGGAGACTGATCGGCGGCGTCTTCGATGAATTATATGGCAGAACATGTACTCTTCTGTGCTTCAGATCGTCAACCAAGGCTCTTCCCAACAGATTTCAGCTCGAACCATGCGCAGAGAATTTCAGAGGATTGGAATGTATAGTCGGGTGTTTGTGAGAAAAACCACGCATTTCTACCCAACATGCAAGAATTCGTGTGCAGTGGTGTCGGAAAAGGAGACACTGGACATCTGAGGATTGGAAACGGGTAATGTAGTCGGAAGAATCACGCTACACCTTATTTGCACTGATGGAAGACGTTGAATTTGGCGAGAACCTCATGAAGACATGATTTCATCTTGCCTTACTTGCACTGTGTAAGGGTCTTGTAGGAGAATCATTATATGGGCCATGTTCTGCTGGCATGTAAGTTGTGCTCTGGCGTTCATCGAAGGTAAACAAGCAGCCATGAGATACCTAAATACACTAGCAGATCAATTGCACACTGAAATATTGCATTTTTACCCTGATGGCGATAATGGATAACTTCATGGACGATAATGCAACTATAAATCGTGCCAGAAGTGTTCAAAATTGTTTTGCTGAACATCAGTCTGACTTCCAACACCTTTCCTGGCCACAACATAGCCTGGATCTTACCAAGCAGGTGGGTGGGATATAGTGAAAAGACATATCAGACAGCATTTTCCTCTTCCATCTAATTTACAAAATCTAAAAAGTTGCATAACCAATGCATGGACGTAAATGCACTCCAGAATCATACAGACTCGATGCCCAAACGAATCAGAGCAGTTATCCTTGCAAAATGTGGTCTAATAAAATATTAATCTTGGGTTTCTAATTCGTTGGCCAGTGTGTGTATAATGAAGCTTTAGTGAGCAACGAAAAAGGATTGCTTTTTAACTTTCTCAGTACAAAGCAGTAAAGTATGCTCTCATAAACAATGTTTCATGATATGTTTTACACAATGTATCATATACTTTACAATTAACTTTGATTTGAACTCGAACAGGAAATATGTAGAATGCTGAGATGCGATACTGGGTATGGAAGCAAAGGAGTTTCGTTTGCAGCTCATCCTGCTTTAGAAGGCACCAGCTGTGGAAGAGACAAGGTAAGTAGAAATTTTTCAGAAAAAGTGATGAAAACGTTATTACTAGCCTAACATTTAAAACATTACTTAAATATATTCTATATGTACTATACAATGGTACAGCTGTTTTCTTGTAAACGAATTGCTTAGTACTTTGAAAATTAAACACGAAATATATCTGTCCACTCTCTGACTCAGCTTTACAACTGTAAATTAGTAGACTTACTTGCCATATTTCGACTTTTGATTCGATATTATTGCATAATTCAGCCTTGAAGCATTGTTTGGTAGCATGAACATAAAAAAAAATATTATAGCAGTTAAAAAAAATGTGCACCTAAGTATCATTTCTACGCAACTGCTCGTAGGTCTGTGGCTTTAGTTTAGGAACTGAACAAAATATCGCCAATTTAAGGACATTATTATTTATAAAAATCAAACTTTCATTAAAAAATAATAATCATATGCAAAACCAAAATTACTATACTACAAGATTTGTTCTTCCCAACCAGAAATCTTTGAGCGTGTGATGTCATTGTCTCATAGACTGCTCAAAAGCTACTGCTTCCTACGTATCTTCGTTTCGCCCGCTTCTGTAAGTAAAGCGAGTCATTTAACTCTAGCGTTGGGAAAGGCTTAACCTTGTTGTTTGCCCACTTACCTTCCACATAACAATTTTAAGTCTCCTTCTTGGTATATTTAAAACTGTAATAAACTTAAAACCCAAAATCTGTGGAACCACATAATTTATCAAAAATACAAACGTTAAATTCTCTGTAAAAAATACTGCAGAATATTAAAACACTCTTATGAGGATACAACGAAACAATCAATTTCCTCATGGACAAGATATACACGCTACAGATTCCTTATTAAAATAAGCCTATTAGCAGCCGTGCGCTAGATTCGCTGAACACTTGTAGTTCCCACCTGGGTTCTATTTCTAGCAAACGGGCCGGCTGCATGGGTTCCGTGGCTTTCCTCGTGTTAACATGTATAAGAGCCAATTCCCTCAGAGAGTCCTCCACGATGGCATCTCTTCCCATAAGCAGATAGCCCTAGTATGCTTTCACGTAATCTCAGTATACCAAACTAACCTCATTAAAATAAAACGCATATACAGTCTCGTTCTCATCGACAGCATAAACAAATGAGCTGTAAAAAGACTGTATAAGGAATTATCCTCAGTTCTTAACACAATAGAAAAATCAAACGAAGAGTGTAACATACCCTTTATTCAATCTAACCTAATTACACAGATGGCTCCACTTGGATTTACTTAAAGCCAACACTTCTGACTTAACTCAAACAGGTAATGTTGAACTTAAATTAAATCTTAATTAAACTATCCTAATGGCTCACAGGATAATTTAACTCGCAGGAAGGCTCTGACTCGCAGAACCAGTGGGAACGAACTTAATGGCAAGAAGCATTCAATGCCACATAATAAGATCCCTAGTAATTCATAATAACAATGTGGCCTTCAAGCAGCCATAACACGCCTGCTTGAAGGCCTGCGCTGAAAAATACCTTCCAAAACCTTCACTTAAGCACTTCTTCCTTCCTCAATTTCAATACGAGCTTAGTACTCATTTAGCATTCTGGCCGGAAAGTGTGGGTGAAAACGAGACTGAAAGGAAAGTTGCTTTAACTAAAACGTAACTGTTAGTCAAACTAAATAAATCTCCACACACATAAGTTAATATTTCACAGATTTGAGACTCAGTAAACTATGTTTTGGTCCTTAAATTACAAATCTTCATCTGCAGAGGGAACATAATGAAGATATAGTAAGGCATGGCGAATGCAATTATTGTCGAAACTGCTCACAAATATGAAAGTAATAATCTTGATGCTGCATTGTTCACGCGAGTTATTCAACTGAATTTTCATTCGATCACATGATTCACAGCAGTTGTTAAAGTTATGTTCGTGAGTCACAATTGTGGTTACGTATCAGCTGACCTAGAGAAAATGCTCTAGTTCCAATGAGGAGTCACTATCAGTTACGCACATTTTTCACGAACTTCCCATCAAACTGTATAAATTGTTCTCCACATACAGCTTGCTTGTCTTGGTGGCTGCTTTCTGGTAGGGACAGCATGAAGCAAAGCCAGCTCCTGGTCATGCAGGTAGGCATTTGAGGTACCATCAAGCTGTTTTCTGCCTTGTATGGAGTTTCAAGTAAAAACAGCCCAGGGTGCGTTCCAGCGTCCCCCACTCCTCTTCCCCTATCACAATCTCTCTAAAGAATATTGGCTGTCCGTATACTTTGAGTGCCGTTTCACTGCACAAACACTTATGCGCTTACAAGCACCATTCCCTCTCCGAAACTGGAACCCGAGTCCATCGGTATGGTAGTCAGCACTAACCACTATCCCATCTAGTCGGCTTCTGGTCGGAACAGCGCATCCGTCAGCTTCAGGGGCTTTTCTTGGTCGACATCTTCCTTGGCTTGGAAGTAGAGGAATAGAGCCTTGTCCTTCATATGATCACAGAGCAGATACGTGGTACTTACCTATGGGACAAAATGGATCATCAGTAGCACCAACAGTATACGAAGTTGGGGATTTCTTGGATAAGACGGTGTAAGGACCATCGCTCCTTAACAAGAATTTAGAAGTTTGATTCTTATCAACATTGCTGTGGTGGTGAACTATAAGCCATACTTTGTCACAAACACTACATAAAATCAAACAAAATTTTTATTTTCAATTTCTTTTGATAAGGAGACAATATTTTTTAAAAAGTTGAAATGTTAGTAATGCCTAGATTGGAGTTGTTTTTTTGGCAAGATAACTGGAATTTATTGAAAAAGAATCAATCTTAAAGCTTTGTAGATTAATCGTGTACCCCATTTTCTTTTTCCGTAGTGGTGCCAAGGCGGCATGTGTGTTCACATGCAAAGAGCTGCTGGAACTTTGAGAGGCCGAGTCATAGACGGAGGTTGGAGTGCTTGGTCGGCTTACAGTCCCTGCTCTTCGGATTGCGTTGCCAGAGGATCCTCTCCCGCAGTAGGAATCATGGTATCTACACGAAGATGCGATAATCCAAAGTAAGAATTTGAAAATTTCTGTATTTTCAATTAAAACACTTTTACGTTCACTGATTTTATTACAAAATCCACTCTTGAATGAAATTGAAAGTCCTTCTTTTAAACTAAATATTACTATTTTGGTTTAAAAATATGTTTTGTTTCAAATGAACCCTTCCAAGTTAATCGATTCTTTGGGAATGGCCAATACCCAACGGTCGTTTAGCCATCTAATCGCCAAGAACGTTGCCCAGTATGCATTATTACAAATAACGAGGTACCAACCCACGAGGGTACAAATAGTATGCGACTATTTGTACCCTCGTGGGAACTAAGTTCCGTTCAACTCTTGACAAAGATCACCGGAGAGATGGATCCGATTGTTTCCCAACTGCTTTTTCCTATCACAGCCCTCGCGACAGGAGCAACTGCACATGCATAGTCCAACACCAATCAAAGCAGATTATATTTATGGTTGTTCAAAGAAACTAAGAAATTCCTAAAGCTTAAAATTTATGCGTATTTGCTTTCAAAACGAATGATAAATTCAGTTAAATTAAGAATAATAAGTAATATATTGAAATAACAATAATTATAAGTTGTAAATTTGTTGTTGAGAGGACAAGAGGACAACGTTCGGGAAGAGATCTCAAGATAAAATGTGATGTACTGCAAAATTGTACTGTAGTCGAGCATTTACTCCCGTTTGAAAATTAAGTTATAAAGTGAAAAAGTTGATAAAAAGAAAATTTTGAATGCATTAAAACTTTCAGAAATCAGGGAGCATAACGAAAACAGCCTTACAAAGAAATTCAAAAAATTTATCAATAAATAATTAAATAATAATGACAGTCAGAGAAATATAGTATTTTGGGGGCAAATAAGTCCTTTGGTAGAGATTTGACGAATGGAATGTGATGATCACATGCTTGATAGCGTTGATTCATATCAAGAATAAAATCATCAGTAGCAATATGTACCACTTCACAAAACAGGCGTATTTTTAATTCGTGAAGAGTCATGGTTCAAAACGAAACATCTTTCAAGTATATTCTGCGCACACTCGCTGGGATTCAAGTCAGCAGAAAGCACTCAAAATCTAATGGACGTAAGCAACGCCTCAATTAAACGAACGACATTTTGTACATACTTTCTTTTTAAGTATTATCTTTTTTAATTTAGGAAACATAATATGAGGATACTGACAGACAACGAAGTCAATTTTATGTAATTCACGTAATACGTGTAATTTTTCTGTAATCTTATGTATTTTATGTAATTTATGTAACGTATGCAATTTTATGGATTTGACGTAATTTAAGAAAATATTTTTTTTCGTACTGCAAGAATCCAACAAAACCTGAGTAGTAATTCAAGATTTAAGAATTTGGTTTAAGATTTGGTTTTTTTATTTGGTCCAAAAATCACCAAAATGTCTAATTATAATCTTATTCCAAGATTGCTTTGTTGGGCTTTTTAATTTTCTCGTAAATCCTAATGGAATGTAATATGAAAATGATTTAGATTTGTGAGAAATTTAAGAATCGCTCAGAAAATCATCACAAAAGTTAAAAATTAGGAAAAAAAATCGGAAATTCCAGATTTATTCGACATTAGCGGAAAATTTCGCACAGTCTAAGAAAATCTACTAAAATCTCAGAAATTTGTCTAATTATAAAATAGTTACTCTAGCAGTCATTGTTAATAAAATAAACTATTTTGTACCTAACGCAAATACCATATATGGCTTTAAAAACATCTTTTGCTAATTACAATAAATGCTGAAAAATTTGATAATTATTGCTTGGATATATTATAAATTTCCTGCATTTTAAAGTGCATCAATTAAATATATAATTAAAAATTGAATAAACATTTATCACAGAAAGTGCAAAGAAGCAGTACACTTATTACTTTTGAATCGCTTATTTTCTTTAAAAAAATTAATTTATAATTTGGAGATACATTAAAGTTTTTATATCATACTAAATGGAAGCACTCTAGATATCGTAAGACATAAATGGAGGTACTCGCGATGGCAAAGCTAGCCAGTTAGCGTGGATAATGAATAAATAACGCGGCAGAATAAGACAATCCTGCTGTAAAGTTATGTAACATTATGATACTTTTATATTATGGGGTTTCTTTAAGATGTTTGGATTAATGTGACGAATACAGTTAGTTATGGAATATGGTTAGCTATGGAATCCACTTACAAACAAACTAGTGTCACTAACTTCCGTTCCCGACTTATCGAGATGGAAGGATACATGATGCAGACCGAAACTAAATAGCATTTAACATTAAACCTTTAAGCATTTAACATTAAAACTTTAACGAGTCTCTTCTTGAGCATCACAAACAAAAATATAAAGATAACACGAAACCAAAATTCACACTTCAAAGATAGTCTTGCGAGGAACCAGGCCCACCAACGGCCGAGCGGTAAAGTCGCTGAACACTGGTAGTTCGGTCCGAGATTCAAATCCCGCGAACGGGCTGGCTGCATGGGTGATTTTCCCCATATGTAACGTGCATACGAGCCAGTTTCCCTTAGAAAGTCCTCCACGAAGGCGTCCCTCCCCTTAGGCAGATAGCCCTCAAGGCTTTGCTGTAATTAAATAACCTAACCTAACCCAACCTTGCGAAGAACAACAGTTCACTACTTTTCATCCAGCTACCTTTAGCTTACCGATTTGGATAGGAACTTTTCTCATCTTGCCGCCTAGACGGTTAGTGCTTAGGTGAGCCGACTGCGATACCAAAGGACCCAGGTTCACGTGCCGGAGAAGACAGGATTGTATTTGTCTATCCCTTCATAGGAGGCAAAGGTGGCCCAATTATTAGATGCCCCCATAATAAAGGGACCACCGCTTCTGGCCTGAGTAAGGACCAACGTTTGTGGACGGCTTGGGGCTGCGATTGTGAAGGAAAAAAAAAGCCTTTTGTCGTCGTTACTTACTCCAACATGAAAATCAACTGCTGCTGTCTCCAGCAGTGATTCCATTCTTATGATTTGCCACGCCTTTGATCAGACTTGACTGCAGTTGTTCCAGGTAGATTCCAGCTTAGGCGGATTCAGATATCCGACATAAAAAAACTGTAGGCTACTGCCGACTGCCGAGTGACCACTTACCCCAATGACAGTAAACTGTTTAAATCCCCACGCTCTTCTAAAAAGCTGTATAACCCTCTGGAAGGAAAGAGATCGTGTTAGAGATCGTGATATAACAATATGCAAAATTGTCACAACATTACTGCCAAAAAAGTATTTTGCAGACTACGCTGAAAATGTTGCTGGCGTTAATGTTGTTCCGAAATGCCCAGCTGCGGTGAAATGGCTGCTCCACAAAGCGGGTTTAAGGCTGCCAGAAAATGGCAAGGAAAGGTACGGTTGCCAGATAGGCGCGAAATCGTCCATTTTTCGTTATGCCATAGACGGAACGAGAACATCCTAGAACGAATTCTTAGCGGTTTTCCGAGAATGTTCTCAAAGGCAGGTCAAAAGCTATAAATATCCTGCCTGTACAAGGAGCAGCAGTTTATCGTGAAGAGTATCCTGAGTGTGTTTAGTTCAGTAGTAGTGGCTTGAGTTCAAAGACTAGCTAAAGAGCGATCGACCGAATCGGGAGCTGTACTTTAGTGCTTTTCCGGGAAGCTGTGTTCACCGTTGTAGCCTGAAGGCTGTGTCGCTGATTGTTTCAGCGTGTTTGTGGTCGTTTTTCCACGATTGTAACGCGTCTTTGGAACTGTCCTGTGTAATACTCACAAATTAATTGTGTTTTGATTCTTCATCAAATGTTGTCAATCGCTCCAAATCCACAAACCCGTAGAACGCAACAATATGCTTCTATTGATATAATAAAATTCAGTCACAAATATTGTATATCATCAGAAAACGACATGGATTTACGAAAATTCTTATAGAACTTCAAGAAATTGGATTGGTGCTTTTTACATTTATTACCATTTTAATTCTTTAATTCTGGTATTAGCTTCTATTGATGAAGCCCGGAATTACTGTAAGCGATGCAAACAAGCAAAATCTGCAGGATAATTTTATTCTTTGCAATTATTGTTTATTTGTTTTAAAATACTAAGTAATAAAACATTTAATTAAATTAAATTATCAAATTAGTTTTTAAAATATTAAATAACAATTTTAATAGTCGTCGCAACATATCGCTTTCAGAATTTAAAAAAATGGAATTCAGTCAGTAATAATAACATTACCTGATATTTCATACATAAGCACCTATTTGTCAAAAAAATTTCATATTGATTTCGATACTGTTTAGTTAATTTATCATGTTGTACAGTTTGATCTACTGCTCATGGTAAACCAACTCAGTTATGTTTTCTTATAGAGAAACTGAATAACACTTCATATTTACTTTTCCATTATTTACGAATTGTTTTGCCTAGAACAACATTTAAAAAAAATGTCTTAAACTGAAAAAAAAACTAGAAGTGCATTAAAATATACTAAACTTATAAACGTGTTTGTTTGAATATTCACTTACATTAATTACTAAAATGTACTCGTTTAATAACGAACCATTATGTGAAGTAACTCTAATTGGCGTTAATTTGAAGGCTAAACTCTTCCAGACAAGGCTGTATGCATTTAAGTAATAGCAATTAGTTCCTCCCCCCTCCTCTTTTCAACAACAAAGGACAATTGCTGCTAAATCTACGACAACCTTATATGTTTTTTACATGTTGTAGCAAAAAATCATCTACACACTTAGCCTCTTTTCGTAAAATTATAACAGTTATAGTTCATGTAATTTACTGTCACATAATGTTGGGTAATTTCGATCCATAAATAAGTACGATTTAGTTTATTGGATATATACTTCATATTCTCACACACTACGTATAATTAATGAAAAATATTTATATTATTTATATACTTTCGGAAGAACTTAGTTTTATGTTTGATTATCCGTTTAACTTACAATGATGTTTAAGTGAAGAAAGAATTTAAATTATAATTTATAAGAAAGCAATTAAAATTTGAGAAGCTGTAGTTAAGTTTTTGTTATTTTTTCATATGGGAAGGTAATAGTTTTGTTTTCAATCACCTATAGACCACAAAATGGCGGCCGTTTTTGCGTTGGTAAAGACAGGAGGGTTCTTACCTGTGATGCTTCAAGGGTAAGTACATAACTTTAATACACTAAATTAAAGTTATTTTATTTCATTTAAAATAGCTGTAAACTCAAAGCAAATACTTCTTCAGTCAGTACTTCTGTTAAGCTGTTTGTATTTAGGTAGATTACTTTCTATTCTATTTTAAGTATTAAGATTCCAACATACATTCTATATTAAGTCTATGTGTATATCTAACATGTATTCTGTATCATCTATTCTATATTCATTCTAACATGTATTCCTTATTAAGATTACTTTCTGTTCTATTAATTACATGCTATGTAAATTCCAAGACTTCTACGTTATGTAAACCTCTGTGTTTGATTAATGCTGTTTCAACCTCTGTGTTTGATTAATGCTGTTCAACGTAGCTATTAAAACCATTAATATTTCGTTTATATTTAAAAATGGAATTGCAAGACTTTCCAAAGCATGTATTCTGCATCATTATAGAGGAATTTTAAAAAAGTGTGCATGGAAAGTGAAGTCTTACACACTGCGCAAAATAAAAAAAAAAAAAGAGACAGTTCTATATCTCTCGTTTTACTGGGTCGGTTGCCGAAATTCAAATTGCGTTTTTCATGTCTCGAAGGCAGGATATATATTAGATTTATATATAGTATTGTTCTAATATAGGTATTTTGACACAAAATCGGACTATTTCTGAAATTCCATACAACTTCTTTTTTCCATATTTCAAGTCTACGACTCAAATTTTGCCTAAATATTAAATTTTGTAAAATTTGGTGAGAAATTTACGGAGAAATTCAAAAATTTATCGTGGCACATTTTTTTTCAGTTTGAGTCAAGAGTAATTCACTTAGCGAACTTTTTAATTTATAACAACCTATTTTCCTTTCCCTTTTCTTTTTCATAGTACACAAGCGAGAAAAAGTTTTCATTCATACTTTCAAATAATTTTAAGAAAGTGTGTAAACCACATTTGCCATTATTATGGCTTATAATATATATGCCAAATTTCCGAACGAGCCAATATGTAAATTCACGCAATCTTAGAAAATTTTGAATAAAAAAACTCTAATTTTTTGCAGGTTTGCCTAGAAATACATCTACTATAAGATGATGTCAAAACTTTTATAGGTTATAATGCAAAATATTTCGAAAAATTTATTAAATATATTTCAAAATACAAATTTTTTTTTAAAAAAAGAAAATCTGAAAGGTTTCAGATTTTAAATTACGTCCAAAGAGCCGTTTCTTTAACATTTTGTGTGTTACCTTTATTTATTAAACATCATATTCTCCGCACTTAAACTATAAAATTCAGTTCAAGAGCAATATCACGAAATAATTTTGAACTGAGAATCTTTAGAATTTTGGATACACAGTCTCACGCGCTGGAGATAAGAGTGCTTTTTCTGTACAACGTTGCCATTGCTCGCTTTGAAATCCTTGAGTTTGTTAATCAAAAATTCGTTAAAGTTTTACAAAATATGAAATCGATCATAAAAGAAATTCCAAATTTCGGCTTCCAGATGTCCATATTCGCAGTAGAATTACGTCATTCAAAATTCGATGGCTCTATGTACCGTTGTTTTATCACAATGCGAGAAATATACATATATTTATGCAGATTCTACATTATTTAATTTCTTCAAATATAATACAGAGCGATAAGATTTGGTGGCAACGATTTGAAAAGTGAAACGGACATTCAGACTGAGTCGACGCAAAATTGCAAAACGGAAACAATAGTCCCTCAAAGACAAAGACCCTTTGGACTAAACATAAATCATAAAACATGTACGAATTATATTTGCATTAAGTCTATATTTCGAATTCTGGAAGAAGAAATCAAGTATGTTTAATAAAAAAGTGATTAATAAATATATATCCAATTCGATTAAAACTTTTGAGACAATTTTTCAAAATCCACCCGTGCGATTTTTACAAAACTTGGCAGTTTGGCATAATTTGAGTCGTAGAATCGAAATATGGAAAAATATTGGCATGTCATTTCAATTCAATTTTGTGTCAAAATACCTACATTCGAGCAATGCTTTATATAAATCTAATATATATCCTAAGTAGCACTTTCGAGACACGAAACATGAAAAACGCAATTTGAAGTTCGTCAATCGGTGCAATAGAAAGGGAGATATAGAACTGCCCCCTTTCTCTCTCTCTCTCTCTCTTTTTTTAGTCCAAAGGGATTTGAATCCCGAAGGACTATTAGTTTCGTTTTGGCATTTTGCGTCGGACTCATAAATGTCGGTTCACTTTTCAAACTGTTGCCACAAAATGTTAGAGTCCTGCATTATATTTTGAAGAAATTAAATAATGAAAAATCTGCATAAATGTATGTATATTTCTCGTATTGTGATAAAACAACGGTACATAGAGTCATCGAATTTTTGAAAACGTAATAATCCTCCAACGAATATGAGCATGTGGAAGACCAAATTTGAAATTTGAAATTTTGTTTTATGATCGATTTCCTATTTTTAAAACTTTGACGAATTTTTGATTAACAAACTCAAGGATTTCAAAGCAAGCAATGGCAAACGTTGTGCAGAAAAAAACATTTTTATCTCCAGCGCGTGAGTCTCTGTATCGGAAATTCTAAAGATATGCTCGTTTTAAAACTATTTTGCGATATTGCTGTTGCACTGGATCTTATGGTTTAAGTGCGAAGAACATGATATTTAATAAAGAAAGGTAACACACAAAATTGTTAAAAAACGCCCCTTTGGACGTAATTTAAAATCTGAAACATTTAAGTTTTTTTTTTTTTTTTTTTTTTTTTTTTTTTTTTTTTTTTTTTTTGTTGTTGTTTTGTTGTTGTTGTTGTTTCAAGTCTTCTGAGTAACACTTATTACTTAAGTTGCATTTTTTTTGCCATAATCCCTCACAGCGTCATGGCAACATGCTTATATCCTAGACCTAAACTCTTCAGTTTGAACCGCTGTTCTTTTATCGGTGTTTCTTTTAATTTACTTTTGTTACTTTTGACATAATGTTACTTTTTATTTAATATTATTTGCCTTTACTTATGTTAGGTTTCCATTCAACTTTTGTGCTTCAGTTATTTCTTACTCGCACCTCGAAACTTATATGAATAAATTTTCTCGTGATTTGTTCCTTCTAGTATACAGACAATATCAAGGATTTGTATCACATATAAAAACAGTTTTGTTATTTTTTAGTTGCTAAACATATTTTGTGAAACAGAAATAGTCAGTGGAGGGAAACTCGAAAATAGCGATTCCTCTCATGTTTTAAGTAAAATACAGAAAAACATTTTATGCACATTAACGAAGTTTGCTCCTATTATAAAATGTTAATGAAAAATGATCCGAAAAATGTTTGAAGAATAATTTAAATTGTGATAATCATTATGTATTCAACGTGACTGATATCAAAATATTTTACGTTTGAATATTTTTATTTCAGATATCCTATCAATACAAAAAGTATTTAAGTTAAAACACAATAAATTAAAATAACAAAAAAGAAAATCTGAAAGGTTTCAGATTTTAAATTACGTCCAAAGGGGCGTTTTTTAAACATTTTGTGTGTTACCTTTATTTATTAAATACCACATTCTTTGCACTTAAACCATAAAATTCAGTTCAACAGCAATATCGCAAAATAATTTTAAACTGAGAATAATCTTTAGAATTTTCGATACACAGTCTCACGCGCTGGAGATAAAAATGCTTTTTCTGTACAGCGTTGCCATTGCTCGTTTTGAAATCCTTGAATTCTTTAATCAAAAATTCGTTAAAGTTTTGCAAAATATGAAATCGATGCCTAACAGTAGGATTACGTCATTCAAAATTGGATGGCTCTAGGTACCGTTGTTTTAGCACAATGTGAGAAACATGCATACATTTATGCAGATTCTTCATTATTTAATTTCTTCAAATATAATACAGGGCGATAATATTTGGTGGCAACAGTTTGAAAAGTGAAACGGGTACTCAGAGTGATTCGACGCAAAATCGCTAAACGAACACAATAGTCCCTCAGGGACAAAACCCCATTGGACTAAAAAAATCTTTTTTTTTTTTTTTTTTTTTTTTCTTTTATTACTCTATTTTTCCCCCTTGCTTGCATCTTAAAAAACTTTTTTGAAAAATAAGTTCTCTTTTAAATTAAAAAATTATATTAAAAGTATTAATATTATCGATAAAAGTAGCATTCCTAGATGTAGGATTCAAACTGACACTGAATTTGAAGCGCTAAAACATTTTTGCAAAACTACCGACGATCTCGCCAGGACAATGAAATTAAATGATATTAATGTTACTTTAGCTTCTGGTTTCTTGCTAATATTTAAAAGTACGCTGTAACGTTTCACACATTCAATTTAAGGTTGTCTATCGTAAACAGCTAAGCGAGATCAGCGACTCAAACCTCGTGCGATCTTCTTATTAGTATAATATGCTTGATTAGCACACATTGCAAATTAAATACTTTTATTAGCTCTTATGTGATCTGATTAATTCAATTAATAACACACATTGATAAATTTGTATAACCTTCCATTAAGTTCCATAAAAATATTTTTAACAAGCAGGGTATTATGTATTTTAAAATCTCGAAATTACTATTGTTATGGGTGGAAAACTAAAAACAAAACGCATATATTTTTATCTTAAAATATTTCAATGTTTTATACGAAACATTCCTTTTACCTCCCAGATTTGCTCATTATCGACCCGGAAACTAATGCTGGATGAATTCATAAGTGACACTTGTCGTCAAGCTTCTGCTAGAGACAACACTTTAGAAGTAACGGGTACCCAATTTCCCAGTCAAGAAAGTGAGTATTCCTTCAATTTCTACTTATGAAGTGTAGAGTTCAATTTAATTTCATGCCTTTGCTACTTTTCTATAAAATAGTACTTATTAAATGATTCAAAAATTGAAACAGTCTTTCATATAAATTGATTTTACTATAAAAGCGTATAGAAAAGAAAATAGGTAGAATTTTTATCTTTCAATAAAGAACATTCGATCGAAAGTAATTCAGAGTTCAAAAGAAAACCTCAAGGATCTTTCTTCTATGAAGGTTTCTGTTCATATCAATAAATATCTTCCAAGCAAAGTCAAGAAAATTAGGTCTGCGAAATTTTAAAATAGCAAAAACATATTTGTTGTGGAGAAAGAATTGATCAAGTCAAAATGTTTAAAGAAACTGCTCTTGATCTATTGCGCTCAGCATCCCCAATTAAAAAATCTGATGTGTACACCACATGACTTCCTTGTACGGAATATTAAATTATTCGGATTTTTTCTTGCATTTTATTTAAACTTATTAGATTGAATTAAACCTACTTCGACTTCGCCGACAGCGCATAAACCACAATAGAATAAATGCATTCTTTAAAATTCACTTTGTTTTACCATAGCGACACTCTGGCGCTAAGTTTACTTAACAGTATTATATTTCATTCATATTATAACTCAGAATGCACAAAATTGTATATCATTTAAAGAATTATCTAATCGTTGCCACATGTTCTATTCAAATACTATAATAAAGCTAGAACTGATGTATAAAAGAAATTAAGCAAACAAAACAAAAAGAAACAGTTTTTTCACAGACGATTGAGTATTTCTCATTTAATTAATTCAGTTCTCACTTCGCGAGAAGGCAAAAATACATAAAAACTCAAAATATCTATATTACAAATTACGAAGTAAATCTTAAACACTTATTTCCTCGAAAAAATTCCAGAAAGGAATTAAGCATGATTTAATTCGCAATAATAAATGAATGCGTTATCTTTGTTGTTGCGAAGCTAAGTTTCTCTAGATTGGCAACAAATCCACTAGTCTCCTGTTTCAAATGTAAACATCAATGGCCGCCATTAAAAATAGGCTTAGCGGCACTTAAACAACTTTAAAATTGCTGATAATTCTAAACATATTGCACACAGATTTACTAAAGGCATAAAATCCTTAACCGGAAGATAAAAACAACATAATTCAATCATTTTTAAAGCAAAAAATGTACAATTTACAAACATATAAGAGTAAAGAAACTGAGATCACTGAGCCGGGTAACAGAGTGGATATATATATAAATATATTTATATACGTTTGGTGCGGCCGATTGCAACCAAAATACGAGGTGCACATCTACATGTTATAGCAGTCCTATATACAAAATTTCAACGTTCTGAGGCTACTCGTTTTTGAGTTATGCGAGATACGTACGTACGCACATACGTACATACGTTCGTACAGACGCCACGAAAAATTCTCTTCAGAATTCATTTTAAAGCACTAGTTTATAATTTTTTTTGGAGGAAAAGAGTATTTTATTCTGTCCTTACGTACAGATATCACGCAAAAACATCGTTAAATTGCATTCGATAGCGGTCAAAATGGATATTTTCGTTGAAATATGCTGCCTGAAACTTTTCGCGATTACAATACTTCCTTTTTACTTCGTACAAGGAAGTAAAAATAGCAAAACTCTTTGAACATACTTTATCTTGATACACTTCACAGCCATATTTATAATGAAAATTAAGTTTCAGAGATTTATAAAAATAAAAATCTAAATATATCATAGAATTAAATATGAATCATTTTTATTGATGTCTGAAACATGGACCCTCTTATATATATAGTTCTTAATTTAACTGAGCCTATGGAGGATCTTCCAGAATTTTATATGAACACATTGAACGATTCCACTCTGTATACATCAGCCTATTCTCAATTCGTTCTAATCTTTGCAATTCCAACGTATGCAGATTTTCAATGCATTCCGAGCTCTCGGAGTGCGTTAAGCAAAACACTTGTTCAATTTATTCTTCATGATACATTGAGCTGCTAAATCGCGGATATTCTTTGCTATTTATATATGTAGATTTTTACCGTATTGTATTCATCTTTATTGCTTGTAAGTTTTATTAAGTTTATTTTTCCTCCTTACATAAGATCCAATGTGAGCTCATTCCGCTTAGATAAAAAAACAAGCTGTGCGATGTCACTGTTGCATTCTAACCAAGAAACGCTTATAACTATGGCAATCCCTTCCAATTTCACTTCAACAGTAGCAACGGACGTTAGCTAAAGAGACTATAAATAGACCGGTTTGAAGTTTGCTCACCCTCCATATGCTCGTCTGGCATATCAGTCTGCTTTACAAGCTGATACAACTCAACATCCCACGGAAGCTCGTCCTCATCCTAAAATCTTTCCTTGAAAATAGAACTTTTTAAGTAAAGCAGGGAGATATCTCGGCCATATCTCATCCTTGCTGTAATTCCACAAGGGTCTATTTTAGGCGCAGTACTCTGCTTAATATATGTTTACGACTCTTCAACTTTGAAAGAAGTTTGGGTCATAGGACCCAAACTTCCTGTTAGCGTGCTATGATGACGACGCAGCACATAGTAATGAAACTAGCTGTAAATGGCGGCAATAAAGTAAACCATTAGCTAAATAAAAATGGGGAGATTTACAAACGTTTTCTGTCTTCTAAGTCAAGATTTATTAATGCCGTCTCTCGAGAATTTAGTTTTAATAAAAGTCTCTGAGTAAAAGAAGATCCCAGAACCAAGATGTGGATATGAAAGCCGTCATAATTATTATTTTCGTTTAAGAATTATTATTTTCTATTATTTAAATCCTTTCTGAATTTAACTCCAATTTGTATTTAATTATGTTCTATTAATTTGTGTCTAATTGTGTACTGTCATTTTACGTTTATACGTTCCGAAAAAAATTACTTTTTAAAAACAGATTTTTTAATAAACCTTAGGATGTTGATTTTAAATCGCTGCTGTTATTTCTAGAAAAAAATCAGAAACATGAGCAAAAATTTAAAAGAATGTTACTAGCAACAGAAAAAGAAATCAATATAGCAGTTTGTTAAAACCATGATACTCACCTTTTACTATAGATTTAAGACTGGAAACAATCCACAGTAAATCACACATGCATACCTAAATTTCTAACAGGACATTTTAAAATATTCACAGTGGGGGTTGACGCAGTTTGCATAGTCGGAAATTTGAATAAGTAACTGCAATAAACTGACATAACAACTTTTAAAATTTTTTGAGGAGTCTATTCGCACATTTTTAGATTATTTTCATTGTATTGACAGAAATATTTTTCCTAAAATTTTGTTTTAAATGCTCCATTTGATAGCGCTTAATCTTCGTTATCTTTCTACATCATAATTTCAAAGGCAATAAAGCCTTTTTAGTTATTAAAAGAGGTATTTTTTCCCACTCCTCTTGAACAGCTTTCCAAGGAGAGTTGTATGTCAACGTTTGGACAATTCACCTTTTAAATGACCAAAAGTGTAAATAGCCGTGGATAACACATCAGGAGATTTAGAAGGGATATGAGTGAAGGGTATGATGACCTTGATATCCATTTCTTGTTCCATTTTTTCCAGGGATTTAACAGTAAATTTTAACGTGCGGCTTCTTTGTCTCGATGCAGTTCTACTCATTGATGGCACTGTGGGTAACACAGTGCCATCAATGAGTAGAACTGCATATCATAACAGAGGAGACACTTCATATTTGAAAGCTGGGTATAAAATATATTTCTGATAATATGTGGAGTTGACCTTAATAGTTTTCTGCACTCTCTTTAATTTTTATTTGCTGTTTTATCAAAAACCAGCAACAATCATAAATCCCATCGAAAACCTTTCTTAGGATCCTTTGAACCATGTTCTAAGATTTTTCTCTTCTCTTTGATGATAATAAATCGATCTCTTTGTATTATGGTCAAGCGCTTTAAAACCCATAAGATCTTCGAATATGTGACTGTTGCAAGAATTAGGGTAACTTATTTATTTTAAAAGAAATTACTTGCAACTTTTTACAGCTGACTACGTAATACAGCTGCTTTCTGAAATAGTAATCAGAAAGTTTGAGTTGCCACAAATATTTTTATAATTTATTCCGCTTTGTGACAACTTTTTCGTCATGTTCCCACCTTCGCGCACAGTTTAAAACTTTTGATAATTTTATTCCATATTTAATATGTATCTTTTATAACACTTGGAAACTACTGTGAACCAAAATTCTAAGAATTCTGTTAAATTTTTATTTTATTTGAAGTTGAGTTAAAAGTGTATTTTATTTTAAAAATGTAATGTTTTTGTGCATAAAAATGTTTACTATTAAAATATTCTCATATTTTGACAAGATAGTGCCCATATAAAGAATTCCATCAACTTTCAAGTACGTACCATTAGCCTTTTAAAATAATCATGCGCGCAGTGGAAATATGACGAAAACTTTTCACAAAGCGGATTAATTACAAAAATATTTGTGGCAACACAAACTTTCTGGTTACTTTCCCAAAGCCTATATAGGCGCTGTAAAAGTTGGAATTGCTTTTAAAATAAGTAAAATATCCTAATTCTTGAAACAGTCACATATTCGAAGATCATAAGGGGTTTAAGGTGCATGAGCCCCCTTAAATATGCGGAAGATTTATCTATTGTGACTACATTTTTCTATTTTTGTCCGGATAATTGTTTTTCAAAGAGAATTCTGCAGCACGTTATGCTTTCGGCGATATGTCATAGAGAAAGACGATGACGATGCACATTACGTTTTCTCGCGTTTTTAAGATTCAAATCAATATTAATCACTTTGTTTATAATTGATACTGAGCATTTTAATGATTATGCAACTGTCCTTTGACTTCGTAGATTTTTCTTTTAACATTAAAATTCTTACCTTTGCAACATTCGAAACATTTCCTTTTTTTTCTTGGATAAGTATTTTGAACAATTTTTCTCCTTGAAGACAATCTTTGACGTTTTTCTTTTCATTCTTAATGACAATATTATATATCCACAAAGACATTCCTTTTAGGCACATAGCCTTAGTGTGCTTTGTCTTAATTAAATAAACCAAAGCAAATTTATCAAATTTATGATTATTAGTTTTCTTCTTGATTTTTTGTTCTGCTATCAACGAAATATTTAAAAATGGTGAGCAATAGTTAAAAAAAAATACCGAAGTCTCTCAAATCCTGATTCACTATATTCTTCAATTCTTCATATCACCTCCTATCCAAGATCAAGTGTTCTTCGAAAATGCATTTGAAATATAGACAAGGAAACGGTCTGATTAATCAGACGATCCAGATGATTGATGTTTGAATAATTAAACTTCTAGCGTGAAATTGAATTTAGTAATGTTTATGTATTCTTATTAACTAACTGCAATAATCAGTCATACATGAATAAAACATTTTTTTCTGTAGACCGTAACTTAGGATCTGTTGCTTCCGTTTCCGTTAAGTAGTCTTCATTAATCACAAAACTTCGAAGTTCTATTTTAATGTGTTTGGTAAGTGAATATATTTGTTGAACTCAAGCGGAAGCAGTACTGCAAACAAAAAAAAAAATGTGAAAGTTTTCAGATTTTAAATTACGTCCAAACGGGTGTTTTTTTAACATTTTGTGGGTTACATTTATTCATTAAATGTCAAGTTCTCCGCACTTAAACCTTAAAATTCAGTTCAAGAGCAATATCACAAAATAATTTTAAATTGAGCATATTTTTAATATTTCCGATACAAGGTCTCACGCGCTGGAGATAAAAAAAAAAAAAAAAAAAAAAAAAAAAAAAAAATTCTGTACAACGTTTGCAATTGCTCGCTTTGAAATCCTTGAATTTGTTAATCCGAAATTCGTTAAAGCCTTACAAAATATGAAATCGATAATAAAACAAATTCCAATTTTCAAATTTGGGCTTCCAGATGCCTATATTCGCAGCAGAATTACGTCATTCAAAATTAGATGGCTCTAGGTGTCGTTGCTTTATCACAATGCGAGAAACACACATACATTTATGCAGATTCTTTATTATTTAATTTCTTCAGATATAATACAAGGCGATAATATTTTGTGGCAACAGTTTAAAAAGTGAAACGGACATTTAGAGTGATTCAACGCAAAATCGCAAAACGAAAACAATAGTCCCTCAGGGAAAAGGCCCTTTGAACTAACAAAATATTATTCGAAAACTGTTCGTCTGTAAAATAATATTATTTTATTTCATAGTCATTCCGCAATTTCCCTATTAAATTAATCTTATAATTTGCTTATATAATTCATGCGTGAAAATTGTGTATTCTGTTAAAAATCATAATGATATGTGTATAAACAAAAGTGACTGAATAGAAACAGGCAATAAAACTAATATATTTAATTCCTTTTGCAAATGTCAGATTCCCATTCATGCTACGTTTGGTGCCATAAACGAGGAGGAGGATATATGACCCAAGGCTGGACCATTCCAGACGGAACACCCTGCTGGAGAGGATACAACAATCAAAACATGTACTGCGTGAAAGGAGAATGTCAGGTACATTTTATATAAGATCTTAATTTTACACAAACAGCCGCCCATATGATATAGTGGTTAGGGGTACCCTACTTCGATACCGAAGTGCTCGAGTACAAATCTCAGAGAAGACACGGATGTTTGTAAATGTATAGTGTCTTTGCGGAATAGGAGCACTCTAAATGTATGGCGAGCCACATAAGTACTTTTATGTGGTTTAGTAGGAGGGTTGGGAGACCACCGGACCACGCCCCTGGAGTGATCTCCCTCAAAATTGGGGTGGAAAGTAGAAGTCCAACCTCCTTAATGCTCCAGCAACTATTCTTCCATGAAGATGGACAAGACAACGACAACAACAGTTTACACAAACGAGAAAATAACGCTAACAGAAATATAGCGTTTAGACATTACAACCTATGTCAATAAACTTTTGTATAATTCCAATTAATTAAGGAATTTGTTTTGGTTGGGTGCGTGAAACAGCCCTAAATTCATTAAAATTATTAAGTGTGTGTTTTATGATATAAGTTCATGTTAAATTCAAAATTTTCCAGCAGTTCTGGATAAGATTTAGGAATATTTAACTCCCAACATTTTTAGAAAATTAGAATTTCTTGAGTGTTCTGTCTTAGAATCTATTTCTATATTCCATAAATAATAAAATTTTAAGAATAAATTTAAGTGTTATTCCTCTTATAGTTTAAAATAATATGCCAGAAGTAAATTAAATTTGAATTCTAAAACAGAATTTTGTTCGACTTCTTATTGTTCTGCCCCGCCAGTTGCCGAGACTGCAATTGATAGTTCGTTCCGGTTTCGAACCCGGGTTCGAAATTTAGCTTTTACGGTTTTCCTCGTGTGTAACGTGAATATGACCAGCTTACCTTAGAAAGTTCTTCGCGAAGGCATCCCACCCCTTAAATAGCCCTTATGTGGTTTACCATATTCAAAATAATCTAACAAATCTTATTAATATACCAGTCGCTGCATTTTATCTGGATTTGTTTACACAGTCTTTGAAAATTATTTATGTCGTCGGTTCGTTTGGTTTGGTTTATTTAATTTTAGAAAAGCACACTAGGGCTATCTGCCTAAGGGGAGGGATGCCTTCGAGGAGGACTTTCTAAGATTTATGTCGTCCGAGCATAAAAGTTATTCTCGTTTATCTTGATCGTTTTGCAAAAGATTTTGTTTTCCATCTTCTATTAATTCCAGTAATGATTTACCCACATGGGAAAAAATGCTAGAAATAGACAGGGGGAAAATCAAAAATTCTGATTATTGCCTAGATTTTTCAGTCAATAAAATCAAATTTTGAGTAACATAACAATTTTAACCACTTCAACGTTTCCCACGAGAGCAACACGTCGATTTGAAAATTGTCGACAGGCGTTAGCAACGTCCCACACTCGTCGGGGTTAAATATAGCCTGGATCGTTACCCTCGAGAGACACTCGTCATTTTGTTTTTTTTTCCAACCCCTCAAAATGCAGCAAATATCAAAAGAAGTTGTGGGGTTCCACCCTTTTATCTAACAGCTATGGGTGTAGGAACCTACACCCATAGCTGTTAGATAAATGGCATAGCTGTTAGATAAATTCAGTAGATAATGAACAGCTAAGCGAATAATCGCTTTAATTCAAGAACAAAGACGTAAGCTCAAGGCTTGATTACCCTTTATTATTCAAAATCAGAGTTTAAGAGTTGGCCCCTTTCTCAGAGCTTACAGCAAAGCCTCCACTTGGGCTCGAACTCAAAATAATCAGAAATAAAACTTAACTAATGCTTAACCGAAGAGATATAGCCGAAGCTATCAAATTTCTAAGTAGTTGGCCCCTAAATATCGAATAAGCTAGCGAAGCTATCAAGGGCCTGAAATACGGCCGGGGTAGTTTAAGCTTAGAAAGAGACGTAGCCAAAAGACAAACGCGCATTAGTCCGAAACTATAAGACTGTGTCTCGAAGTCAGTGTAACTTCGACTTAAATACACTCTTACTCATTTGCATTAAACGCGGTTCTAAAATCCCATACTGGTAGGAAATTGTAAG